TGCTAGATAATTTATGTTTATGGTTTTGTTGTTGTACTATACATTTAATGCTTACTTTTATTTTGATATTATAAGCTACAAGGCTACAAATGATGTTGCTTTTTTTTTTGTAATTTAAAATATTATGTTTTGATTGTTTTCTTAATTTTTATGTATGATTTATAAATTATAATGTCGTGTCCATGCTGTACTCCTATCCCGAATTGACATGCCCCGTATCTGCATCATGTCGTATCTGTGTCGCCGTATCTGTATCAATGCAACATAGGTTATTGGGAGATTCCAAGGCCTTGTTTCGCCAAATAGAAAAACTACGTGAACAAGCGAGTAATATATATTGCAGGAGAAAATATTATGTGCGGCGTCTGGACATAACTCGATTGGGCCGGAATACACACACTATAATGAAGAAATATAATGAAGTTGACTTGGATTGGGTCGAATGGATGCAAAGTGAGACGGATAAAACCATGTGGACCACAGGAAGACGTGGCATGCCGACGCAAAACAGATAGAATCAGCAAGCAAGCAAGCAAGTTTATCAACATGCTTAAATTCTAAGTAGATTTTTCCTATCATTAAAATAAAGGGGCTGTTTGTTGGTAGAATTTAAGCATGATTTAACCCATAACCTGCCAAATCAGGCAAAATGACATCGCAATCCAAGTGAAGTGGGGAATAGACCTAATGGTATCTAGGGCTATCAAAATCGGTTCATGGGCCGGGTTCGGTCCAACTCGAAAATATTAAAACCGACCCGTTTTTATGCAAGTGGGTTGGTTTTTCAGACCCAAACCCGGCCCACTTCAAGTTTGGGACCCGAACCCAACCCACAGTGCTATTTGTAACTGTTCGACATCGCTCCTTGGACGATGTTCCATTCCAGTCGGATAGGAAGTTACAACATTTTGATCGAAGGCAACGACGGGAGTTCGATCACTATCACTGTGAATGTAACTTTCTTCATTTCGTGTGCTCATCATAGCTATTCAACTTTGCTCCTTTAACAATGTTCCCTTCCAGTTGGATTGGAAGCTACAACATTTTAATCGGAAGCAACGACAGCCGACAGGAGTTTGCTCGCTGTTACTTTGTCTGCTACTTCGTTGATGTTCGACTTCGCTCCTTGGACGACGTTCCCTTCCGATCAGATCGGAAGTTACAACATTTTGATTGGAAGCAATGACGGGAGTTCGCTTGCTGTGAATGTAACTTTCTCCCTTGCGTGCACTTCTTCGGCCAAATCTTGTAAATATGCCAAACTATAGGATTCCGGGTTAAAATCGGGTCATTCTCAGGTTTCCGGGTCAATCCGAACCTGACCTAGAATTCGAAATGGGTCAAAAATCAGAACCTTCGGATTCGGGTTGACCCGAAACCAAAAATTTTGTGTTGGGTTCGAGTCGATTTTCGGATCGAGTCAATTTTTGACACCCTAAATGGCACCACCTCGGAAGGAAGAAAGAAAACCTCAACAATATTAACAAGGAAAGAGTGAGAGGAAAGAAAGATTTGTACTAGTATTTCTCTAAATTTTCATAATAAATTTTTTTTGTGTGATGTGACTATGTGGCTCTTTCCCAGTTTTAATTTTTTTCATATAAAATCCTAGTTTTCTTTATTTTTGCTATATATATTTTTTTTCTTATTTGTGTTTACTGTGTGTTTTACTTCCCCCAACACCCTTTACCTTTCTCATTCTTCTTCTTAATTTTCTCCCTTTCAGCTTTTCTTCTTTAATGTGGAATGGACTTCCATAATTCATATTTATTTGGTTACCAATAAGAAGTATTAATCTTTAGTGTGTTTGAAGTTGAATTGGCTTTTTTTTTTGCTTCAACGAGGAGGCTGCTCCGCTAGGGTTAGCGATTTGAAGCTTCTCTCCTCCGCTCGTTTGCTCACTCCGCAGACGCCATCGGCCGGGGGTTTTCTCCCCATGGCTGATAAGGAGTTCCCCTCGCTTCCCTCCTCATTCATTTCCTCCCCCACAAGGCCATCTGTTCTTCCCCTTTGGAAGAATCTCCTCACCACCACCCCTCAAATCTCCACTGATTTTTCCCACTCCCTCGTCTATACCCCCACCCAAAACTTCACTGCCAACTTCACAGCTGATCAGTATGTGGCTGGCGCCCCTGAATGGTCATTATCGCTGGTTGGCTACTCTATTGGGAAGAGGCCCTTCTATGAAGCGCTTCTCTCGACGATTAAAAAGGCATGGCAACTCAAAGGTGAGCTATCTCTGCTCACCATGGATGACGATTTTTTTCTCCTCAAGTTTACAGCCCTAGAAGATTACGAGCATGCATGGACTGGAGGGCCCTGGTTCTTCTTCGGGAAGCCCTTCATACTTCAAAAATGGAGCCCAGATTTTGTCCCAAAGCGTGAGGAATTCCCGTCAATACCTTTATGGATCAAAATCATGAATTTAACGCTTTCTCTATGGACTCCAGAAGGTATTTCTAAACTTGCTAGTTGTGTTGGTATTCCGATTGCTGTCGACGCTTTAACTGCGGCGAAAACCCGCCTGACTTTTGCGAGAGTAAGTGTTCAAGTCACTAGCAATTCTCCTTTACCAAAAGAAATTTTCTTTTCTGTCGATGGAAAAATTACTCCTCTATGAGTGCATTACGACTGGAAACCCGAACACTGTTCACAATGTGGCTCGATCATGCATCCCCCAACGCTATGCCCAAAAGATCCCATTACTAAGCCCATTATCAACAACAACACTAGAGGAAGAAGCTCAAGCAGAAAACCCCGACCATCTCCACCTCCCAGGCTGACTATTCCTAAACCCCCACTCCAAACTAAACCTCCACCCAACAATGTTGTTACCACTCAACCACCAAATACCCAACCTCCCACGAAAATCACCACAGCTCTTACCATACCCAATCTGAATTCCCCTTCGGGAGACCTGCAGGATACCACAGACATGTTTCTGAAAACAACTGTTCATAAGCCTATCATCACCTCTAATAAATTCCAGACGTTGGGAGATGCTGATTTGATTGATGTTTTGCAGCCGCAAAACACATCTTTGGTTTCTTCACCTACACACAAAAACCAAACACATATAACTTCAGTCAATGTTCATAACATTCAAAACCAAAACAGCCAACCTCAAACCTCTCCCCATTCCCATCAGCCAAACATTCCTTCAACTGCTCCTGAGACTTCAGGCTCTTCCTTTAGTAGCTCAACAGTCCACCTTGATACAAACCAAAACCAAAAACAAACCAGAGGCAAAGCCAAAAAAGCCTCTACCCCCAACAAAAAATCATAATGCCCCTCCCAAACTTAGCAGCTTGGAATATCCGTGGGTTCAACAACCCGGCCAAAGTTGTTTGCTGCAAACAATTAGTCCGTTTTCATAATCTTGATCTCCTTTTCATTCTTGAAGCAAAAATTTCCCACTCCAACCTCTCTAATGATTGGTTTCTTGCCAATCATCAAATTTTTCATAAAGAAGGCAATTGTGACAATTTCTTGCATAGCGACCCTGGTCGTATATGGGTCAAATGGAATAAGGATGCTCTTATTTTCACTCCATTACACAAGACGAATCAATTTATTCATGGTACTATTACTACTGCTACTAATGTCATTTATGCTATTACTGCCGTGTATGCTAGCAATTCTCTGTCTGAGAGACAAATGCTATGGAATGACATTCAAATTTTAGCTCAGAATATCAATACTCCTTGGGCTATTATGGGTGACTTCAATAGTTGTCGTGAGCTTGGCGACAAAGCTGGTGGCACAGCACTTTCTACCACTCGTCTTGGTGATTTTAACAGCCTTGTTTTCAATACTGGGATGCACGAACTTTCGTCTGTCGGTCACTTTTACACCTGGTTTAACCAACAACAACACAATCCCATCCATATCAAGCTAGACCATGTTCTTATCAATGATCAGTGGCTGTTAAGTTTTCCCAACTCTTTCTATAAAGTTCTTGACCCGGATTGCTCAGATCATTCACCTCTCATTTTGGTAAATGACACGAAAGTCAAATGTGGACATAGATTCCTATTCAAAAACTACTGTGTCAAACTTCCTGAGTTTTGGGATTGTTTGCTGGAGGCTTTTTCACTTCCTAACACTAGTAGTCCTCTAAGCTCTTTCAATTTCAAATTGAAATCGCTTAAGAATTCAATGAAGCACAAACACTGGACCAATTCTAACAGTCTTCAAATGCAAATTGAGGCTCTTAAAACCAGTCAGAGAGATGTTATCAGCCAAATTCAAAGAGATCCCCTTGATCCTCAGCTCAATTGTAATCTCAATCTTATTAACAGTAAGCTAGCTCATTCCCACTCAGCTCTTACTAGTTGGATGACTCAACGTGCCAAGGTTAAATGGCTCACTCATGATGAAGATGATTTGAAGTTCCTTTATTCAAAAATAAACATCACCAAAAACTACAATAGAATAAAGGAGATTACCAATGAACAAGGCACTTTTCATTCAAGGGAAGATATGGCTAATGTCTTCATCAATTATTACAAAACTCTCTTCAATACTCCTGCTCCCACGATTTCCAATCACTCTGTTGTGAATATTCCTGAGGGAAGAGTCATTCCTCAGCATCTTACCTCTGAGCTTATTGCTCCTGTTACTTTTGAGGAAATCAAAAACATCGTTTTCACTGGTAATTCCAAAACAGCACCGGATCCGGATGGATTTACTTTTGATTTCTACAAATCAACCTGGAATGTTATTCAACACCAACTCTATAATGCTGTGTCTTTCTTCTTTGCCACGGGTTTCATGCCAAATCAGACTAAAGTTACAGCCATTGCACTCATTCCAAAAAAGCCTCATGCCAGCAATGTCAAAGATTATAGGCCAATAGCTCTTTGTAATGTCATCTATAAAATCATAACTAAAATCATTGCTAACAGAATGAAAAAAGTGATGCCTCTCATTATTCATCCCAGTCAAGGTGGATTCATTCACAAAAGAATCATTTCAGACAACATTCTATTGGCTGCCGACATCCTTGGATGTTTCAATCTTAAAGCCAATCAAAAATTCCTATGTGCAAAATTTGACATCACTAAGGCCTTTGACATGGTTTCTAGAGACTACCTTTATGAAAGACTTGAAATTAAGGGTTTTCCCAGCATTTTTATCTCTTGGATAAAGGCCTGCACCTCGAATGTTCATTTTTCTATTTGTATCAATGGGGCCTTAGAGGAATACTTTAATTCGAGCTCTGGTATTAGGCAAGGCTGCCCCCTCTCACCTTACCTGTTTAGTATCATCATGGATGGGCTTTCCTCCAAATTTGAACAGGCCACTATCGACAACACTTTCCACGGTATCAAGTCTAGGAATTGTGAGGTTTCACATTTAATGTTTGCTGATTATCTTTTAGTATTTGGCGCAGCTACCATAGATAACGCCCACACCATTAATGAAATTCTTAGAGACTTTGCGGCTGTCACTGGGCTTGCGGTGAATCCTGCCAAAAGCTCCATTCTGATATCCAAAAACACAAACACAGCCAATGATATTTGTAATATCCTGAATATACAACAATCTTTTGCGACTATCAAATACTTGGGGCTTCCGATTTTTTACAAAAAACTTAAGATTAGAGATTTTCAACCTTTGCTTGAAAAAATCACCAATCTATTACAAGGTTGGAAAGCAAAAACTCTTTCTTTGGCTGGGAGAATTCAATTCATCAAATTCACCATTTCTAACACCTTGGCGTACTGGATACGTGGATCAATCATACCTAAGAGCTGTTGCAAGATTATAAATAGTATGTGCTCTCGTTTTACCTTTTTTGGCAACATCAAGGATAGAAAACTGGCTACTATCTCTTGGAAAAGCTCTTGTTGTCCCAAAATCAATGGGGGTCTGGGCATTTATTCGATTGAATCTCTTTATCACAACTACTCCTGCTCTCTCATTTGGAGATATTTAAATGCAAACTCGCTTCTCTTTGCTTGGTGGAGAGGTAGAT